TCGGTAAGCTTCCTTTGATGATAGCTCATAGTTTCGCAGATCTTTTTTGAAATGTGGTTATGCTGTTTTCTATTCATGCAATTTAAGACCGGACTGCTTATCAATGTTATTCGATCACTAACCACAAGTGTTTCGGAAGATCAGCGCGAATTGGAAAAGTCCCGGTTGCAGAAAGGATTTCAAGAGTCTGAAGCACTCATCGATAAATTAGTCAAATGTAAGTGGTTCGTCCTTCAGTGGTCCTTTAAAAAGCTTCAAAGCACTTATGTTGAAGAGTAGTTCCAGTATGGGGAACAGTTTCTGTTAACAGGAGATCTTCAGTATTCCTGAGGTCTGTGGAAAAGGGGACACCTCTATGACTTCAACTTTACCTACCGCATTTTGTCCCCTTCTTTTCAACTTCCGATTCAGATGGCTCCTTAGCCTTCCACTTTGTTACGCACTCTGACATTCCAAACTTGAAGGTCGCTTCCAAAACGTTTTGTACAGTCATAATATATTTCTTCAGCGGTGTATCTTCGATAGATAACCCGGCACTGTGACCATGGCGTTACCAAATATTCAAATTTTGAAGTTTGGATTGTTTCAGCTCATCAGCAGGATGTTGAGGAATGTCTTGATTCGTTCAGGGATGTTTCCACGCGAATATCAGGTAGCCTCTTATGTTTTAGTACTCCTTTGGAATTATTTTAATGACCCATAAGACATCATAGGGCTTATTTTGCCCATAAGCCCCACTTCCAGTGAAACACGACTTTTCACAAGCCAGTTTTCAGCTTGCCGAGAACGGATTCATAACGTTCGAAACGCACTCCATACTTGTAAAACTCATTTGGAATGTCGACGTGATGATCTGAAAAAGCTTTGGTTGGAGAATTCACAACAGAAATACATCTGTGAAATAATGGCGCAATTGTAATTTTTCTGCACTTTTTAATTTCAAGGTATTTCAGTTTAATTTACCTTTTTAAGGGAGGAACTGAAGGAAGCCCCTCTGAAGATCGATATGCTCATGAATCAGGGAAACTATACGGATGCAGCCAAATTGACCAGTACATCGCGTTAGTTACATTCATTTATTTGGCCTGTTCAAGGTGGTGGTAACGTTGATATCTAAATTTGTGATTGATTAGGAGGTAGTCTCACCGGAATTTCCACTTCTTGTTTTGCAGTTTCATGTTCTTTGGCCCGGTATGTTTCTGAGTTTGATTTCAGGAAGAGAAATGTTTTTCTAGGAGACCTTTTGAATGGCCGCTTGGCTAAAATCGAAGGCTTGTGCCAACTGCGCACTATGATTCGTGAGACATCCGAGCGTCTGAGCGATAAGATTGTCGACCAAATTGTCGAATATCGTTGTGATCCGTCATGAACCAGCATGTAGGTTCATATTAACGCTAAAAGTGCTTTTATTGGATTGAGCCAGATTTTTTGCAGATGTTCGACTTGGTCCAATCAATGTCCGAACAGCGAGTGATGGAATCAGAACAGTGTTCCCGTCTTCACGATAAGTTAAGAAATGGGTCATCGAATATTGATGATTATTGGATTTGGTCACACAAAAGGACCTTTTCTGTCAGGCCAAAACTATCCCGCTCCCAAGAAACAGTCGAAGCTCGTCTTCGCCTTGCAGTTGCGGCTCTTTCAGGTTAGGTGGTGGATCCGTCGACATGGATCGTGTGATGTCCTTGTCTAGAGCCCAAATTGATAAGCAGGTTTGCAGTCATCAATTTACCAATAGATCAGTTTCAATTTCAACTTCAGGTAGCCGCATCGGTATCGCTGATGAGGGTTCGTGCTTCGATTGACGAAAATTTGGCCGGAGATCAGACTCACCTGACGCAACTCGTTCAAATGGTGAGCTCATTAAAATTGTTAAGGCTCTACTTAAATATGACGCTTTAAGATCGTTTGCCAATTGGAGTCGTCTCGAACTGCTCATAAAGTACTCGAGAAAATCTGTGCGGAATCACCTTCAAGCACCAAAATCATGAAGTTGTATTGGGGAGGGTGCTCAGAATGCCGTAGAGGTCTGTTTCCTAATTTTTAACATCTTTTCCTTAATCTGGAAGCCGCTGTTCAGGCTCTTGTGTCTGATCACCTGGACATTACTCCACTGGCTGTAAAAGAGCCGATCGATTCAAAGAAACCGCTATTCCGGTTCGATGCCACCGCTTTTGCCAGCGGAACATCAACTACTGACCCGAGCTTGCAGGTATTTTGGTCGTCACCATTTTCAGTTTTCTTTTTACTGTCCGTCCGCCTTATGAGAGCTTTCGACAGCTTTTAGCGCTTATGAACATAGAATTGGTGTTGCAGAGTCCACTATTGTTCTGTCGCCCATCTGCGTTTAACATCGTACCGATGTTTCCTTGGCTGCGTAAGCTGATGGACTCTATCGAGAAGGAAACCGCTGAATCTCCTTGCCAGCTCAGGTACGCGAAATATTAGCACCTATGCTATAATCTACTGGGCTTTAGAACAAGGAGCTGACATTGAATCTAAATACTGAGCTTGCACCTCTTCTTCATGAAATCATTTTCTTACTCGGATTTAGTGGAGTTTTTTTTCTCAAAGATGCAATCATGATTGGACTGGTTCCAGGCGGTTTTGATACACTCTTTCGTTATGAGCTATTTGTTAGAAAGGGTGAAAGCGGGGCTGTAGCTAGCGTATCGAGAACTGCAGGGGAGCAAGAGCCTGACATACAAGACTAGAACCAGTTATTACTCCTAGTAGTTGAGCTAATGTGGTCAAGTTGGTCTCAGGGGTCAGTAAAATATCAAAGGAGTTCTTTCAGAAAGTTTCTACGTCGGTGAATGGGATTGATCTGCCAAGAAGTGCATGGCCTGATTGTATCTATGGATTTGTATGCAGATAGATTTGCTGCCCTCTGGTTGCTCGTGCTTACCGATTACAATAAGAACGTCACGGATATGTATGAGAGGGTTGGTTTCTTTTTGTTAGGGAGTGACTATTGTTTTATTTTGCTTTTATCAAGTAAATAGCGCCCTGACTTATTCTCCAGACTACGAAGTCCCTAAGCGAAATCGATGGAGTTGCCTCGAGACGAAAAATTAGTGCTGCATGGGCTGCTGATGAGGATATTTCGAGGTAGTCATTTATTCTCTTTTTTTCTCTACGTTTTCAATAGATGCTCCGAGTATTTCTCCCATTTTCATAGTCCTTCAGCTATCCATCTTTGGTTGTTGGTCTGTGAGGTTCTCCTGTAGCCTAGGGGTTGCGTCTCCAGAATATTCCCTATTCTCCAGTATAGCATACTTATTACTCGAGAAATGTATACCATTCTATCGTTTAGGCTACTAGGGAGCGCTTCCAAACTGGTTGATTGGCAGCCACAGAAAGCAATCCAGTACTCAAGTTGTCCCGAATTTCAAAGCGAAAAGGCACCTCTGTTTTGCTCTTGTAATTCTGGTTTGTAATCCTTTTCGTTCGATATTGCTATGTGACCTTATTAGCTAGTGGAGCTCATCTTTCTAATAAGATCACGTTATTTGTCTTTCAGGATATTCTTCAAAGAAATGAACGAGAGTCCGAAATATTGATTGGAAATCTCGCCACTCAGAAGAAGATTGAGCGTGCCGAGTTGTTGACTGATATGTCTGATGTGAGAGCACTTGCAGCATTGCACGAAAGCTTACGGTGGTTTGCTTGCGAGGTGAGTTGGACGAATATCTTTAGCCATGCCATCCCCACAATTTTAGGATTCTTAGGTACGCCGACTGATCAACTCGCTTCCTCAACATGTAAAGACAAATCTGCGTGGATGCATGGTTCAAGTCCGATACAAGGATGGTCAAATAACCGACAATGTGAGTACAAAAGGCCTTGGATAACTAAACAATCTATGAATTTTCGAAGTTGGTTCAGTTTCATCAAGCGGTGTGAGAGCCAAAATTTGTACTGCCTCTTTTTTGAATGAGGGGTGTTGCGTAGCGCACCGCTGCGCCTGACCCTCTTCTAACGTGAGGATTTACTTATTTCAGGAACCAGTACTGGATGCAATGGAGGACTGTATATGTCGTCTGGATTCTATCTCAGACACTTGTTTATTGATGTTGCATCTTGAACTGCGTGTACACTGCTTCTTCCATCTGTTACCGCTAGTCTCAGACAAAGAGATGTCAGGTTCATGAGAGCTAGATGCTGATGGTACGAACACTGTTAGGAGGTATAGGATCAAGCATTGGGATTGCTTATTTTCTTCTAAAGAGATCATTCTAGTTTTATCAGAATTATAGTGCATGTTGAAGGCAGTAAGGTCAAATAACGACTTCCGCAGCCAGCTGAGGGACAGTCTTTTTGTTTTCTCCGACCGGTTAGTAAAGTTAACGGCCTTCAGATCAGGGTGAATATCGGTCGAGGATTCGTCAACGGCTCGTCGAGGATTTTCGCCTGTTCATTCACTCTCGCGCGGACATTCACTCTCGCCACGCGCGAGCCGTCTGTGCTCTCCGCGCGTACATTCACTCTCGACACTACTCTCGCACAGTAGAGAGCCATGGTCGAGGAATTCCTCGACCGTTATTCACCCTGCTTGGAAGAGCGTGGTTAGCCTCGGTGTGGTTTGCTCCGGAATTCGGTCCCTGACTGCGCGCGTGGTAAGGGGCATCACTACGTCAACTTCTCCCATCAATATCTTCGAATTAATTCCAAAATCGTTTCTTTTCAATGGTTAATTTCTGCTCATGAAAGTGCGTCACAGACAGGTAAGGGTTGAGTACCCTTGAAAGATTTCCTGTGTAGGTTCACCTATTATGGGGTTCAGTGAACAATTTTAGGTTCCATTTCTTCATTTTTATTTGCCTCTGCCTTGGACGATAGTCTTGTTTTTTTTTTACAGAAAATGCTTCCTCTAATGGCCGATATTAAGAAGTTTTCTAGGTAATCGAGCTAGGACGTGACCTGCAATCTTTCCATCAACTGTTATCTTCGATCCTGTCGCAACCGAAACTTCGCTATATATTTGATGGCCTCGGTCATCTTTGTGCTGCGATATTCATCCATTCGAGGTACGCCTGGCTTTTATGAACCTTACCAAAGAGTGTAAAATTGAAAAGTTGTGATTTTTCAGCCAACATATGCCACGATTGTCCGAATCGGGAAAGAAACGTGTCTGTCGCAATATATGGGGCGTTCAACAACGATTGTCCCAGATAACATCACGTCGTGAGGCAGAGCTCGATCGAGCACGAGCTTTCTTCGAACTACTCGCCCATGAACCTGATCGCCTACTTGCACAGCTGCCCGATCGACGATCCCAGTTCACACCCGTTGAGATGGGTCATCTCGTGGCGTTGTCGGTTCGTTCTCATCCGACTCTGTCCAGTCAACATGGTGCTCTCGAACAACGCCTTGCACAGCTCTCATCGTTATTGAAACAACCGGTTTAGGTGTCAACTCAATTTTTTGCATGTTGCTATCTACGCTCTGAAAAATGTTTTCCATCTGCTTTCTATTTATTAATAAATATATATGTTATAGCATTTGCAAAGGTGGCGCAGTTATTGCAAGAAGGCGTGGTTCTGGGTGGTAGCACAGTAGTTAGTTAAAGCGAGCAACCAGTTTTACAGTTCAGATAGGATATTTAGTGTCAGTAACAAGCAACTGATGCTCCGTGATGGTGAAGGGGGGTATATTCATATTGCAAACACGACTCCAGTTTTGACTAGGGTGGTGGTAGAAAAAATAGGAACGCTGGCCTCCTTGGTGTCCGCCAAACAGGCCCACCGCGCGCGGAAGCAGGAGGCCGCAAGATGCGGCAAGTGCCCAGAGTAGTTATATGAGACGTTGTTAACCTTTTAACACGTTGACGACATCGCATGTTTTGGCATTTTGCACCTCGTGGGACAGGAGCGATTTTGCGACCGCGCCGTCCTCACCTTACTTACGCTTATTTTTTGTTAAAAATGCACAATAACTTGAATTTCATAGGACTATTTCGGCAAGGATGAACGCATAAAGGTTAACTTACAGTAAGGTTTCGTTTAGAAGAGCGCATAATAACCACGAAGAAGTAAAAAAACATCACTTTCGCTGCGAATGAAATTAAAAGCATTTATATCTAAGTACTCCCATCAAATCAAATATATTGAAACTCACAGAGTTTTGTTTCAACTAATTCTACAATCTTTCATAAGAAATGTTGACGACAGTGAAAGGAATATTAGGAAAGAATCGGAAATGAAAGTTTTGTGCGTTCGGAAAATTTTTGCTAATCAAAAGATACTTGACCACTCTAGCTGCCAGCGGTTTATAGTCATGCTAATGTATTATCTATAGAATGAATACAAGAAACCCGAGAGGAAGGAGCGCAAGCACGATAAAAGTGAGTAGCATAGACTTGACGCGCTTGCGCGTCAGAATGTCCGATGCGGTGCGAAATTCTTGACGCGCATGCGCGTCAGCTTGTCGTCAACGTGTTAACCTGATCGCTAACCGCCTAACTAGTATGCGCTAGCGACTCGCCCTTTGCGCGTCCGCGTCTGCTTGCTTCCGCCGCGCGTGGCTGTTGGGGACACCCCGGTGCTTACCTCCTCCTTCCATATTTCTGACTTCTTGCATTCCCTTGCATAGCAATGAGCTATGTACGAGTAAAACTTATTGAAAACGTGGGATGAGCGCAAATGAATCATTATCCTTAAATCAGACCCAAAAAATATATGGCGTGTCGCGTACATGTGTGCACGATCTGTTAAATATATTTCAAGCAGACCGTGCGCCATCATGTGGCGCATGCCGCCCTCGACTGACTCGTCCGTTCCGTTTTGAAGGAATCCTTCTCGGAAAAGTCGTGATCCTATCTCACCCTATTAATCCCTGGCTTGATATCCATCGTTCACGATAAGAACGAAAAGAACAAAAAAATTGCATTTGTTCTGGTAAACAATTCGAAAAACCGGAACGGACTACTACGCGTTCAAGTTCCCGCCGGAAATCTATCACAAATCTGCTGCGACGGCAGGAACGCTTGCTTTTGACCTTTTGCACTGACATCTCACACTTCTACTGCGTCATATTCTATCGATCGTTTTGTCTCTGTTTCCAAAATCGAACGCTTTAACCCGATTCTTTCACTGCGTCGCCTGAGGCGCGGCCGAAACAAAGCGCACTTCTTTCCATGCCCCGTCTTTGGGGCCGCGCGACCTACCTTCGACTGTAGATGGTGTGGTATTCTGGTTTCTATGGAACCGAATCTTCATGCGTGAAACTTTGTGTGTTGTTGTAGTGATCACAACTGACACATCATGTTTGAAAAGAATGCAAGAATTTCCCGGAAGGATTTCTTTAATTGCACGGCGCATCCAAGATTCCTTGGATACTGTCACGCCCACCACTATTTCTATGGCCAACAGGTAGCCTGGCGGTCAAGAAGCCATTAAACAACACAAAATCTCAGCAGATGTACATTAGTTCATTAGCTGATACTCTCGTTAGCACAAAAGCTATGGCAACCAATCAATAGACATCTATTTGATAGAGTAATCTACGCGTTTTCCTCGAGGTAAGAAGAGAGATATATAGAGACAAGAAGCAAATACAAGTAGTAGGAACTCTAACTGTCTAAAATACAGCTCGCTATATCATCGTTGTCTACTAGGAAGTGAGTGCGAAAAGATATGAGCATCGGCAATTATAGCACAGAAAAGTACAACAAATCAACACATATATAGCAAATAGTGTGCAAAACCCATCGAGAAACCTTGTTAAAATCTGATTGGCATCAAATCTTGGAGTGATTTTACAGGAAAGCGCAGAAGCTCTGAACACATGAATTTATCTTCCGTCGCCCCTTGCCCCGCTCGCGTCAGGAAATTAGAGCTATGTCGTGATATTGCAAGGATGCCCCCTCAATCAGTACCTGCCTTTTGCAATAGTGATCCCATGGAAAACATGGAAATAATTCGAATAGGTCATCGCGAGGACAGTGCCATTTGGGATTGTTCGGATTTGCCACGTCAAAAAAAATCATTACGAAGATGACCTTTTGGTGTAGACTCACGTCATGATATCAAACAGTAGGGAGTTCAATTCCTACGAAGCCCTAGAGCAGGCCCCGGAAAATGTTGGGTCCACGGATTTACCCGGTATTTGCCTTCCACGGGGTCGTACAGAAGAAAGTTGCATATACTCGTCATCGCCCATACTAGTGGGCGGCGATGGATCCAGCCCGCTCTAAGAACGCCGCGCTCTTTGACGCACGAGTCGCCGCGCGCGGTAAGATTACGATTGTCTTGACGTACTTCCCTCTCAGCATCAGATCCAGCACGACAGCTCGACCGGCAGAAAACTAGCTATGAGTAACATGCTGCTTTCTTATGGGTCTCAAATGCTCTTTAGAGACATTATAAATTCTGCATTATTTTTAGGAAGGATAAGTGACAAAAACTCTCGCGACTTACTGACTGAGCAGACCTGGGGTT